TCTGAATCCTTCCAAAATTTTCAGTGATCCCCCCTTTTGGGCTCTCAGTTACGACTGATCCCCCCCTCTGTTCTCCTAAAAATCAAGTGATCCCCCCCAAAATCCTCCGACCCCCCCCAGGTGATAAATAATGACCGGTCCCTTACCTTCTACTGGTGACTTAAGCGAAAGGTTTTTCTTGAAAAGCCTTTGCAAGAATGTTTTGTTTGGTAACATAGCTAGAAAAATCAGACAAGCTTTTCCTTGAGGGATAAAGACTTTAACTTTTCCCCCTAAAGAGTGGGGGGCCGAGCCCACACCCCCCTCTCCCCCTTCCCGGGAGGGGAGTGGGGGAGGGGGGTTTGGGCGGGAGCCCACACCCCACTGCCGGGTAATTTATTCATATATTCATAAATTTTTTACTCGAAAGAGCGCCCCAGTGGTATGTTTTTGTACTCAAAAGAGCGCCGCACTGCCGTGTTGTAGATCACGAAAATGAACTATATTTAAATCTGTTTACTCAAAAGAGCGCCGCACTGCCGTGTTCATGAAAATGGGATATTTTATATAGCCCTTTACTCAAAAGAGCGCCGCAGTACCGTGTTCTAGAAAATGGAGCAAGTTTTCGGTTAGGCATATGTCTCCCTATTCTGGGGATATTGTGTGAGTTTGAGGGTTGACAGCTTTTGATTTCAAAGGCGTTAGTCTCTATATTACTTCCTGACGGATAGAAAACGTTCATTCGTGCTAGAAACTAGATAAATAGTGTATTGAATAAATAATTCTGCAACCTGTAGGCAGAATTGTGTATTGACAAGCAATATTAATTACAAAATATATGAACTAAAAATTATTATAACTCGTTGATAACACAGAAAATACATTAAAGTAAACCAGTTTTTCTTTCTAATAATTTAATTGCTTTTTATCTTCTTTACATTTAGTTTCATTATTATCGCGAAGCTGATAAAAACGCTATTCACCAACGCTAACTTTTTTCCCCACTTCTTTCCCGGGGAGGGCAGAGTGGGTGTGGTCTACCCCCTTACCCCCTTTCTCTTCCATTTAGTCACCACCAGGCGGGGTAGGGAAGGGCTCAGTTTCCAAACAAAATTAAGAGTAGACAAGTTTTATATAGTGGTGTAGATGGAGAATAAGACCAATTTTTTTTATATATATTCACCACTTTCAGTTGGATGAGAATGCACCTTGTTTATCCCCATAGCTTTGCATAATCATTGATTCCAATTTCTCCTCGGCATTACAGTGGTCCCAAGAGAAATCAAAGACAATGCACATGCAAAATATAGGGAGGTAAATAAAGTGCATTATGATCTAATTGAAAATGGTGAATTTGAAGAGTTTTAACCTGCAGAGAACATCACATGACCTACAATGGGTAGTTAACATAAAGAGCATATAAATTTAATAAAGGATAACTGAAATTAGTGTTTCTTTTTATGGAATATTAATTTTGAAATGGCTTTGAAGACATTTGTCTCTTTAATGCCTCGTATAAATACTGGAATTATAGGATAGTCAGCAGCAAGACAATTTTAGTGTTCCTGGTGCAGGTTTTGGCTTTCCTTTTGACTTTCTTTCTGCAATAGGTCATGCACATTATTAGTGGATAGTGTGTAAAAGGCGCACTGTGCACTTATTAGAGCGCTCTTATTTGCATTAATGGTGTAATTTTTAATTAATAGTCCCTCTTTTTTCCACTTGCTCTTGAAATATCTGAAAGGTCACTATCTAAAAATACCCAAAAAAAGAAGGGGGGTTGTTTAATGTCTTGGACCAAATAATCCAGTTCTTCTACAACTACATTATTATATATATATATCATGTATATTATTAGCTCAGGCTGCCTTGAGTGCCGAGGTGAAGTTCCCGTTCTTAAATTTATAAGTAACTTCAAAGTAACCTTTGCAAAGAAATCCACTTAGAGTTGAGCCACATCATTTTGGTCAGTAGATACCCTGTTTTGACAGCTGTCAACTGGCCACAACCCTTGCCTCCCAGGATGGTGATTTTGTATCACACAACTGCCCACCTTCAAAAGGCCCATTGTACCATATGACTAGCTAGCCTCGAGTATTCAGAAAGGCACAAAATTGGTAAAATACCAAAAGGCCATGGCTACCTCTATACATGAAAAGATGGGTTTTGAAATTCAGGTTATAGATATGAGTATCTCCCCCTCACCCCAGGGTGCAAAACTGGAAATTCAATTCGAGGAAGCCTCATTACGATGAAACGATCATCTATTTTAAAAATGACTGATGCCAGAAAAATTGAAAAACAAGTAAATGGCAGACAAACTTAGAAAGTAGTAATACCATCATTGTCATTTGGTCAGTCATATATAGCACAAGTGACTGAAAGATTTTGTTTACCTTTACTACTACAGCATAACCTCGATATAACAAACACCTGTATAAGGAAGTCCTTGGTATAATGAACAATTCGTTTTGCCCCAGTAATAGTAAAATATATGAAAAGAATCTTGTTACAGCAAGCAAATTTTGACAGTCCCTTGGCCTTTCGTTATCAATTAATATATCAAGGTTACACTGTATAGCAGAGTAAATTTAGACAATTGGTCACTTATGCAGCTGTGGAGCTGCAAACTTCAATAACTCAACTAAAAATCAACCCATTCTATAATTGTAAATTAGTATAATTTGTTTACTCACCGAGCAAATAAAATGAATGGAATTATCGTATTTCCTCGAATAATAGCTAGGGGGCGATTATTTGAGGGAAGGCGATTATTCAAGGGAGGTGATTATTTCAAATATTGCTCACTGGAAGTTGTGCCCTAAATATTTGTTTTATTTTCCCATTAAATCAAAAAATAATCACATCAAATAAACTGAACATGGGCTTTTTAATTCTTCCAAATTTAGTTCTTTTGTCATAGCTTGAATCGTCACTGATCAATTATTATGCTGGATCACATTGCACCTTAACTTGACAGGGAGGGAATAAAAAGAGAAGAAGATAGCGAGAGGAGAGGGGGAGGAGGGCGAATATTTGAGGGAGGCAATTATTTTGAATATTTCGGAAAGGGGGGGGGGGGGTTTTTTATTCTTCCAATTTTATATTTTTTGTAGAAGTTTGAAGCTTACATAATAAAGTATGATGGTGAAACACATTGAACATTAACTGGACAGGGAGGGAATAAAAAGAGAAGAAGATAGGGAGAGGAGAGGGGGAGGAGGGCTAATATTGTGGGGAGGCAATTATTTTGAATATTTCGGAAAGGGGGGGGGGTGATTAATCGAGGGAGGGCTATTATTCGAGGAAATACGGTATTCTAATTCTTTAAGATACATATTCCTCTTTTAATTTCTTAATCAAGTTCTTATTATTTTTACCATGATTTCTTGGTTTGATGATGCATCCATCATTAAATACATGTAATAACCCTCTGTTCCAGTTGAGTGGCAAAAAGAGAAATTGATTCAGAGTAACAGCAATGTCATTTCATCAACAGATTAAAACTGACATGACAATATTGAATCATCATTTGTACAAATTCAGACAAACAAATTTCAATGACTTTTCAAGGACAAATTACAGTTTTCAAGGACTAAGATTTACTTATTAAATCAGCATTCTTTATCTCCCTCTTGAACTATGGAGTCATTTACGATTTTTACTTCTTCAGCCATGTCTTTCCATGACAACACTTTGCAAAATGACTGCATGGATATGACTTGAAGTTGCATCTGAGGTACAGAAATTTAATAGCATTTGAAATAAAGAAACAGAAATAAAACCTTCTGTTGTTCATGCACAAAAATATTTTAACATTTAGATTACCCGTGACTTTTACAGGTTCTTACACCAAGAACTAGCTAAATTTAATTTTTCCTCCGCGAAATAATCTAATTTATTATATAAACACCAATGAAATACCAGGTGAGCTTCGCGTGAAAATTTGATATCTTCACATGTGAAAATAACACGTGATCTTCACACATGAAAATATCACTGTTGCTATGACTACATTATAAATCGCGCCTTTCACACCAAAAAACTATTAAAGTCATGTGAAATGGTTTGGTAGTTCATTGGTGTTTATATAATAAAATAGAACATTACATGGCACCTTGGAGATACAAAATTTCTCTTCTCGTGTTGAAAAAATATTTCACTCGTTTGCTGCGCTCACTCGTGAAATATTTTTCAACAATCGAAGAGGAATTTCGTATCTCCACGCAGCCATGTAATATCCTCTGTTTCACAGAAAACAGTGTGGTGTAGACAAGGTTTTGAATTTTGAGGACTTTTCAAGACCTGACAAAGGAATCCAGTACTTTTCAAGGACCTTAAGTGAATTCAAGAACATTTTAAGATGATTACTAAAATTCAAGACCTTTTCAAGATAATTGTACAAACCTGTATGAATGCTGCTAACTTAGCACAGGGTTTGAAAATTTGAATTTCTGGAAATTTTAAATAAAGCATTCATACACTTAAGTCAAATCCTCTGAAAAAATGACATCACTTTCATTCTTGATCCAACTCTTGCTGTCACTCGACTGACATAAAATTTCAGTAAACTAATGTGGACAGGCAAACCAAATAATCATTGTCAAAATAACAAGTCTCTCTAAAGTTGAAAGAACGACCTGAAATGGTTATTTAAAAATATTTCTTAAATATACCTGCAGAGAAAAGAGAATTGACTCTGACAGGTAAATATATTCGTTGCTTTGTTATAAAATTACTACTATGAAGCCATGACAACTTTTCAACAGGTCCTTGAATGCAGCAGCTTCCCTTATTATGACATTTCACCACCAGTGTGCAGCCACAGTCTGTAGTCACAAAACTTCCTTATTGTGTCGGATCCATGGTGCTGGGGAAAAATAGAAACCTATATTCAGTCTACACCTAAACTGACATATGTTTGTTGATATGAGAACTTCCATTGTTTTATTTTAAATAAAAAGAGTTAATAAAAACCCTGGAAATAACACTGTAAGGTGACTCGATACAGTTTTTTCAGGGTCAATACCTCAAGCCTGAGCATAAACTAAAGGTATCTTGGAATAATCAATTCCTGATTGGACTGCCAGACAAGGCTTACGTATGTTTCAAGTCTGATAATTTTTTTACTTGACCTAAACCTTCAAAAAGCTGCAAAGTTATTTTAAAAGTGAAAAGAAGGAAACTAAAATATTCAAGTTCAGATTCTCCACAAGTCAAACTGGCTGAGTTATTCAGTCTGAAAGTTGTCATTTTTAATACAATTCATTATTAGTAACTATTTGAATCGGAGGCATTGCGCTCGGCCTCTCACTCTCTTCAACAAGTCTCCCTCCTTCCCTATTCACTAAAACATCAGGTCAAGTTACATTTGCACCTAAGCACAAACCAACTCCACCAATTTAATATGACTCCATATGGCCCAGACTGATGAGGTGGTTTTGATAGATCACCTGCCAGACTTCAGTCTCAACAGAAAAGATTAAAACATTATAAAATCAATTGTTGCGTTTTCTTTGTTGACAACCTATAAAAGAAGTATAACCCACCAATTAAATTCCTTGATTTGGAGCAGGTATAACAATCTTTAATTAAATGGTTTCTTTACAGCAAGAGACAAAAGTAAGTTATCATGTAAACTCTTCCCTCACTCACTCCTTTATAACAAGAGAGTTCAGCAAAATGAAAAACTTTAGCCCCTGGTGTACGTAGTTCAAACATTATTTTACTTTCAAACCACTCAATTGCCCCCTCACAGCCCCCCTAACTTTGCAAACAAGATCTCAAAGAAAATAGCCCAGAGCAAGGAAAAAAAACAGTTTTTACTGAACAGTGAACTTTTGAATCACATTTAATTGTAGAAATGTTAAGTGAAAATGGAAAGATACTTCTAGTTTATAAATCAGAACATAACCTAACAAAACATAACCTAAATGGAGCATGCATTTTACTGTTTTGAGAAGTATGGGTAAAGCCGTTTTATGTTCGATTTGTGACATCAACATCAGCCTCCACTAGTAAACTATACTCTACAACACATTAATGGGAAATTCAAAATTCAATGTTTCAGACGCCAGTACACTGTTTTTTCCCGACTTTTTAAGAGCTCAAAACATGGTTCGAGTTCTCAAGGGTAAAATTATATAGAAATGATCTGAGGGGAAACAAAAACTACTTCAAGTTAGCGGGAGGTTCGAGTTATTGAGGGTTCGAGTTACCAAGTGTAAAATTACAGCAAATGAACAACAGAAATCCAGGGGAAATCCATTTTGGTTTGAGTTAGCGGGAGGTTTGAGTTAGCGAGGGTTTGAGTTATCAGGAGTCAACTGTATTCCCTAAAAGAATGAGGAGATTTGTAAAATTAAATGATCATGATGAGCAGAGAGAACAGCCCTTACATCCATCATCTGTCATTGAGCTTCGATCATTTTTACGAATTCTGGTTTTAAAAATGTTTTCTTTAGATATTAGCCAATTATGTCGATAGCATATACAGCTGCATCCTCGGAGACCCAGGGGCAGTCAGTCAGGTTGGGAGGAAGGGCGGGACAAATGTTTTCAAGTATGGGTGAAAGAGCCCCTGGGTACCGATTCCCACCGAGCTATTTCCAAAAATTCAAGCGGATGCCGGCTCCTGATTGGGCACAAAAAATGCTTTGTATTACGGTGCCCAATCAGCGAACAGTTTCTCCTGAGTTCTTTTTGTGAGTTCATATACGACGGCTGTTGTCTCAATCACGGCTTGACTGGCTCATGCACCAAAGAAATGCACGCAGTCAGGAAACTTTCGAAACCCCCATCTGATTTCAAAATACTGTCTGCCCGAAAACTAAAGACGCTTTTCCAAAAATACAAGCTTGAGCTTACAACAGGTATTCACGCTTCCATCTGTCACGTCTTTGCGTAAATATTAGGGAGTTTTTAAAAGATACCACGACGACTGACAACCACGAAATCGTTGCATGGAAAAGGGAATCCACATTTTTTCAGTTTCTATTGTGATTATTCCGACTCGCTTACTTTGTCAAATGCAAGCAAACTCTTCTGGAGCTGAATTTCTATCAACCATATTCATTCAAGTTCATGAACAGAATGAATTTTGTCATTTGCTTGTTTACGTCCTTCATAAAATGTGACTGATTGGGCATTTTCACGAGTAGTCGTGCAGTTGACGGCAAAGAAATGTACAAAAAAGTGTGATGCACGTGTAAAGTTTTTTTTTTGCCTTGTCAAGCTATTGCTTCTTTGACTTTGTCATCGCTGCTGCATCTTAAACTTCCTATTATTCACAATATATTGTGATGAGTCAAAAATAAAATTTTCTCGGGGCAAATTGAATTGCTCCTGCTGATAGCATCCCCAAACGTTTTTTCGACTCATCGGTAGTTCTGTCATTTCTGGTTAGGAAAGTAGAAAATAAAAGTTTCCCTTGCACGCACAGGCTTCGTGAACGAACCGGGCAAGTGTGGCAAGACAATAGGCGTCGTGTACAAACTCATGAAAAGAACCCAGGAGAAGCTGTTCGCCGATTGGGCACAATAATACAAAGCATTTTTTGTGCCCAATCAGGAGCCGACATCCGCTTGAATTTTTGAAAATAGTTCCATGAGAGTTGGTACCCAGGACCTCTTTCACCCGTACTTGAAAACTTTCGTCCTGCCATTTCTGCCAACCTGACTGACTGCCCCTGGGTCTCCGAGGATGATACAGCTGCCATAAGGCGACTTCTTTTACCGACCAGCACTAACAATAGACACAACTTGATTCTGATTTGAGTCCTGGAGGTTTACAGCAATAAGCAAGATGGTAGACTATTGACCCCAAAGACTCGACTGACATTAGGTCTGATGTACCGTAATTTGTCGAATTTGTTGTGTTGTGGTTTAAACTGAAATCAGGGCTGTCAAAAAGTTTTTAAGTAGCAGGCTGATAATGAATAGTAGGCGCCTTTGGAACTCGCACCAAAGGCACAAGTTTTCTGAGGGCCGAGGCATCTAGGGATATTTTGAGTCTCAGAAATGGCATTTCCAGGGGTTTTCAAGAGGTATTTTCGACTGTGGATGCTACGTTGTTTCTTCAGAATACTCGCAACACTGGGAACAATTCCATCAAAATGTCGCAGACATTCCACAACATCGCACGGTTAGAATGTTTCACAGATCTAAACCTGTTTAAATGTGCATTCAATGTCATTTAAAAAACTGGAACACGGATGCTTTACAATGTTATTCAATGTTGCTCATTTTTTGTTAGCAGTTATGGTAGAAGGAGATGAAAGTAGCCGCCTAAGGATGGCTAACTAGCCCGCGGTTTTGGCCGGCTGTGAAATACAAGGTGAAAATACTGCGAGCGCAAAAGATTAAATACAGCAAACAAATGGACAACGTACTTTCATTGTTTTGGCACAAAAATTCTGACCGCAAAAGAGATACTCCTGACAGGAAACTACTACTTAGTGCTCTTGAAGAAACGTTGAAATAAAAGCTGAACTGAAAATGCTAGAAGGTGAATTAAGTTAAAAACAAAAAATGCAAATAAGGGCTTGGTGCACGTGGGATTCCTAGGGGAGTTGATCAACAGCTAAATTGGTCTTTAGGGCATTAGATACAATAGCATAATTATTCACTATTTTTATGAGCCTTAAAACTTTGTTTCAAAATATTTCCAAAATGCTCTGAAAAAATTTGTTCAGACTTTGCCATAATCGAGGTAACTAACTAAGGCAGGTAAAAGAAAACTCCTGGTACCCAGAAATACAAAGGCAAGTAAAAACCGTAATGGCATCATTAAGTTGCCATGGTAACTCCAAATGTCAATAAAACGTGGATTATGACAGGGAGACAGCTGGCTTTTAAACAATTCCTCATATAGGCCACCCCAAAGTTAGGCATTATGGAAAGAGAACATTTCTAAAGCAGAGTAAAGTTATTGGAATCAAACGTTTAAATTGTTGTCTAAAGACTTAAACTGTAAGTTTGAAGGGGAAAAGTATATACTGCTGACTTCATATTATAAGAAGAGGTCTTTAAGCCTTGTGGCTATTTAAAAAGTAATTAACCCCTGATCTGAAGACTGATAGCTTACAATGGCTAATTTGCCTGAAATAGGTCTTAAAATGAGGGAATGGGATAACTCCTAAACCTTTCTCAGGGAGGGCAGGGTCATGTCCCTCACCCCACTCCTCCCCCTCCCCACAGGAAAGTGCACCTCTGGCACATATTTTTTGCCTTACAGGATAGGAATGGTCCATTACCTGCTGAGCTAAAATTTAGGGAGAAAACAGTTTAGGCCAATTCCCCTTTTTTCATTTAAAACATTGAATGTGTTTCTTGAAAAACATAAAAACAAATCACAAGAAGTCTGAGAAAAGGAGGCCCGAAACCCCAGCATCAATGCCATGGAGCCTTGAAACAACAAGACATGGTCAACAAATCAACACAAACTCAATAAAGCAGAAAATATGATGGTCGATGTCATAGTAAAAAGCAAACACGATACACCACCGAAACTTCTATGCCTGGAAATAATGAACAACATAATGCTCATTGTTCAGATTAAAAGGATTGATTAAAATCAAAAAAGATTTTACTACGTCGTTCCTATTTTTGGAAAGAAAAAAGCCAAAAATCTGGGTTGGTGAAATGACGCTAAATGCAGAAAAAAGAGGATGTCCCTATAAGTACATGTTAACATCTAATGTAGATGAAAAGTCACTGGATATGCTAAAATAAAGCCAATATTATTATGTTTCAGCTCTAGTGGATTTGCTCCAACACTACACCAAGGAGAGCCATAGCCAATGGCCAAAGGTCCCTTGGGTTAATTCCCATCAATCAACTTTCCAATACCTTCCTTAAGATTCTTGCTGTTCCCAACAAAGCTGTTTTCTGCAGCAAACACGTATTAATGGTAATCCCCAGCTTGTCAAGCAATGTATCCTATCTTTTGCTTACTGCATAACATAACATAACATTACAACTAGAAGTAATCGGAGCTTAGGAGAGTGCGTTCGATATGTTTGTTAGGCGTAAAGGTAGCGGTTGAGGCGGAAGGGTGGTTCTGATATACAGCGAAACCTCTATTTAAACTGTGTATCATTATAAGAACGTTTTCAAAAGATATCGTATGGTTCGGTGTCAAGTGCTTGTAATTGGAGGAGACATTGGCCAGAATGCGTCGGACGTGTAAACGGAACATTTTGTTTTACTGGCACGAGTTACAGGGTGCAGTTGCTCAAAGGCCGATCAGTGTTTAACCTGGGATTCTTTTTCTTTCTTCAAAACATTTCTTCGGATAATTTTCTCTGTTATTTTTAAGAGCATCCAATCAGCAACTTGTTGACAAAATGAATTACCATTGAATTTACTGTTTTAAAAGCTTTCACATCTGAATTCAAACTTCGCACTAACCCTGTCAAAGCCTTCAATGGAACGTGTGTGCGGCTCACGTCAATAACTTTTCCAGTAATTTGGTTGAGCATGTTGATTTCAGTGACTCGAGAGTGGCGCTACTGTGGGTGAGTTTTTCCTAATAAATAACATAAGAGTTAAAGTGTTTGTTTGTCCGGTGCCGAAAATATCACAAGTCATGATCAAATGGCGCCGCCGAGCTTCACATTTCAGTAGATTTACTTTGTGACACAACAGCTGCCGAGCTACACAACTCGGTAGATTTACTTTGTGACACAACGGCCGCTGACCTACACAACTCGGTAAATTTACTTTGTGGCACAACAAACTAATTTTGGTTTGATGCATGCACCAGTAGTTGCATACATTTTGCAAAGACAGTGACGAACCAAGCTGAAAAATATGAAGGCTTAATCCAAAGTAAAATTTAACAGCAAACTTCCGAAAGATGAACGCTTTGGACGATTCAGCAAACACAGTTCAATGTACGCATTACGAAGATTCCACAAACTTTTTAAAAGATGAACGCTTTACGAAGACAGAATAGCAGACCTCAGCAAACCTTTGAAAGATGAGCGCCAAGGACAAAAGAATCACCACATGTCGAGTTAGCGCGTCAAAGTGAGGCAAAACATAAGCAAGCGCCTCAAAGCGAGGTAAATGTGTGTTGACGACGAAAATGCAATCTCAAAAAACCTCCCTTATTAATTGCACAGGACACCCAATAATGCACAGAACACCCAACACAACTTAGGGGTTGCGTTCTTGTACCTCGATCGCAATTATAAATTTAATTATATTTACAGTGAAATTCATTGTATCAAGCTGTGTGCATTGCAAACTTGGGTTTTTCTGTTCTGTCAATCATTTCAGTGAAGGCAGGGTTAATGCAAATCACGATGTAACGTACTCGCCCAGTTCGACTGAGAATGACCCTACACTGCTCAAGAATAGAAAAGGAATCACAATGGTGAGTGGATTTTTTGTCAAAGGAAGCAGGCAGAGGTTGCTTTATTCTTGCAAGTGACAAGAATAAGAAAGAGCAGAAAAATCTGCTAAGCAAACTTAACTCGTCAATTATTGCCCGAAACAGGACGATCACAAAGCAACAAATCTTGAAACATGAAACAAACAAAACGGATCGAAATGCACCAATCACGAATCACAAACCATGGCCTTTTGAACTTGTACAAGTAAACATTGTTTCCTAAGAGGTCCGCCAAGATGATTGATGGAACAGAAAAAGCCAAAATTCCTTTGAAGTTTACAAAACGCACAGCGCGATACAATGAATTTCGATAGAAAATAATCAAATAAACAGATAGTATTTAATTAAAAGTTATAATTAGAAATCTCTATTTCCCATGCTTTTGTTTTATGGAATAAAATTCTCTAAGTTGAAATGCTTCATAGACATAGTAGCCCAGTTGTTTACAAACATATGGATTGATATTGTTAAAAAAATATAACTTTTTCTGATTTGTTCAACTCTACGAATTTGGAGTATTTGGCTTCTACGTCTTACATACACACATAAAATTAATACATAAACTTTATTAAAGTGTCAAGGTATTTAGCTAAAAACTAATTGTGGACACTAAAGAGAAAAGTGTTGTCTTAAATTTTTATATAAGTAGCATTCAAATAAAAAATGAATTTCATTCTCTACTTTATTCCACGCGCAAAGTTGACATATCCTTAGATTCTCAGGAATTTTAGGAAGATGGTATCTATCAGTTTCAATTCTTAACTTGTAATTACTTGATCGTAATTTTGCTACTGCCTGGTGATGTTGTTCATTTTTAATAAGGTCTAAAGATTTAGATCTACTGACGTTAGTCTTAAAAGTGGAATAGATATTCATTTTTTGTAAGATCGCAACATGTTCATTTGATCCTTTTTGAAGTAATCTATGATAGCCTGTTTTTTATGACAGCTTTGAGTTAACCAATTTTGGCTCTACAAGAATACTAGTGCTACAGCATCATCATCATCATCATCATCATCAATCTTCATTTATACACGAAATCGTATCATTTTACATGGTCTTCCTAGGAATCTTGTTTAAAACTAGACTAAAATACTAAGACTAAAAGACTAAGGAACTATTGACTATAATGTTAAAAATACAAAAACTTACATTATGAATAATAAGAGTTACAATGGGTCATGGTGTATTAGAAAAATCTTTCCCATGAATTGAAGTTTTAAAAACATTTAAACTAGGCAGTTTTCTAATCTCTGAGGGAATCTTGTTCCACAGAACAGATCCTCTGTAGTGTAGGCTCCTTTTTGCAGACTCAGTTTTGGGTCTGGGGACATAATAATTTAACTCAGAATTTCTAAGATTGTGTGAATGTACATTTGAGGTGTTGGTAAAGATCCGCCTCAGATACGATGGGGAAAGATTATTATGGATTTTATACATTGTCACAGCCAACTGTTTAAGTCTTGCATATTCTAGCCTTTCCCAGCCAAGCTCATCCAACAAAACACTTGAGCGAACGTCATAGTTAGAAAAGGTGAGAATTCTAGCAGCCCTATTCTGCAGCTTTTGAAGTTTGTCTGCTAGTCCCTTATTGATATTACCCCAAACGGCACCACAGTAATTAAAATATGGCATTACCAGTGCATTGTACATGTTCACTCTAGTATCAAATGGTATAAAATGACTTACACGCCTTAAGATAGCAATACCAGCGGATATTTTCTTTGAAATGGTATGAATGTGTGGGCGCCAGTTCAAAGATTCATCAATTTGAACTCCAAGGGATTTATGTTTAATTACTCTTTCTAAGGGTGTATTATTGACTTTGACTGTGAAGTCACTATTTATTTGGGATAACTTAAATTGGCTCCCTATAAGCATGTATTTAGTCTTCTTAACATTTAAAGTTAATTTGTTTGCTGACAGCCATGACTGGATTAAATTCATATCATAATTCATTTTATGTTCAAGGGCACATGCATAGTTTCATGATGTTGTGAAAAAGCAGCATGAAAGACAGTTTTCCATTGATTGCTAGTTGATTTGAAAGTAAAAGGCATTGCTTTGCAAAACTAGTATCAGGGTAGATTAACAAGATGTCAACAAAATTTTATGACATTTATATTAATGTGAGATTTAAGTGATAGTCTTTCTGCTTCATTACAAGATCTAATGTTTGTACCAGGGTAGCTCTTTTATTTAGGCTGATAAAATGGTTGTAAAATTGGGTGTGAATTTTTTCAATGGGGTCTTTTTCCCCTTTCTTAGCATCAGTTCTATCATAAGCACCCCATACCTCAGAACTGCATAGTAAGATAGGAAGAAAAAGAGCATCCAATAGTTTAGTGCATATAACCACTGGAAGCTTATTAAAATCAAGACAGCGTTTAACACTAAATATTGATCTTCTTGTTTTCTTTGCAGATTATTCTTTGGAAGCTGAGAAACTTCCATCTGAATTAAATGTTATGCCCAGATAAGAGTATTCTGTGACATTGGCGATTTGACTCCCATTTAGGAAGAAGGTGTATTTATCTCTCCAGCTCATCTAAATCCGACTTTAAATGAGGTCATGTGTCACCTCGTCAAGTGTAAAAGTTTTATTAAACTGACCACTGGCTAGTCGAGGTAGACAAACTAAGGAAAAAAATCAGTTTTAGTTTACCGCGATAGAGAAAAATAAATTAACAAACTTATCTTACATTTAGCAAACGATAACTCCATTTTGTGGTGAGTAGGACTGGTAGGAGGACTGAACACTAGTGGGCAGGCTGTCATCTTGTAACGTCATGATCACCACGAAGAGGATAGACTCTTTTTTCGGGAATGCGATACTCCTAAGAAGAAACGGCATTATGACAAGGAAGTTAAGGAAGATGAAGCACAACAAAGCAACTCAAACAGGGCTCAAAATTAAAAATATCCTCAGGTAGCCTTTTGGCGACCAACGGGAGAAATAGTCACCAGATGCAAATTTTTAGTTGTCAGTTTGTATAATGTAAATGATGCAACTCATAGTATCAGGGCTTCTGAAATTTAGCACGGTTGTGCAGCCGCGAAATTGACAAAAACATGTGAAATACCACAAAATTCGCTAGAAATCTTATCAAATGCATGTAGATACAACATATTTGAAACTTCATCACTACAACAAGCAAACAATGTCACAAAACTTCCAGGCGAAATTATGTTGCGAAAAACTGGACACTAGTCAAGATCTTAAAAGCTTTGCCATTGGCTCATTTCTCAAGGGCTTTGTTGTTAGAATAGCAAATGATTATCTCTGTTAAAAACATCAAACACGCTCATCAAATCAGCACAAACTCGATTGATTTCTAACGAAATTTGCCGCGAAAGTTCCCATGAAATCAGCCATTTTTAGCGATTGTTTTTCGGCGAAGTTAGCCCCAAAAATTTCTTCAACTCTGTCTCTGAAAATCCTCCGCATGAAATTTGACTTCTGCGACCTATCAGATTTGATTGTTTGAAAACAGGGCAGACAGAAGTCAGTATAAATCTGGAGGTAAACTGTCTTTGTTTATGTAATCTGAAAAAACCCTCGAGTGCTGAATGGACAAGCGGCTCAAGCTGATAGCATGCTAAAGTTAAGCCTGACACTTTCATCCCAAGTGGAAAGAAACATTGCCCTGGGGTCTATTATGCCGATGGGAAAATGTTCTGTCACACTTGCCAGGAATGTCCATAAAAGTCAAAATCATTTAATGATCCTCTTAGTTTCATCAGTGGATACTCCAACTTTAAAGTCGAGTCCTTGGCTACCAGGTGATGACTGTTGGCTAGCAAATTTCAAACCTCGCTAGGGCTACATGTAGTGGGTAAGTTAAAAAGTCAAGGTCGAGCATTGCTAGAAGGCCATGTGATTTCACGTTTAATCCTACCCGGAATACAAGGAACCCAAATTATTATTTCACTTCCCTTCCAATATGGAACCCTTACATGTACAGTCTGTAGTTATTATATTTGGGAAGCTTAAGCAGCGTCAAGTGGACTTTTTGCACTCTTGAGCCGTGATTTTGAACAAATTATTGGTCAAATTGTCCAGTGTTTTCAAAATCAGCCGTCGGCCGTCGCATCCGACGGCAACTTTTTGATTTGCGACGCCTACTTTCCCTTAGGTAAATTATATGATAAATAAAACTTTTGATAAAAAGTGGTAAGTGTTCACAAAGCTGTTGCGAGCAAGCAAACTTGAAATTTTTCTGGAGAATTTCGCCAAAACATCGCTTGAGTCTGCGTTTAAAATACGTTCTCTGCGTAATACGTTGAGTAAACGTTGAGGAGGAGTCGAAGACTGGGTCTCAGTTACAGGGAACATTGTAGTTAGCGGTTTCTGAAGCCACTCTATATAAAACGCCACATTTCGTCTCCAAGAACACGGCAAAATGGCAGAAAAGCGACAGCGTGGTTTACGGAAGATGTGGTCGCTGACAGTGACAAACAGGAAAAAGAAAAAGGATGCTGCAGGTAATAATGTAATGTTTTCCCGAAGATTACCCAAGCAGATGCCGGTACGCAAACGGAAGAGGAAATAGTTCAAATTGAGGAGAAAGAACAAGAAGAAGTGGTAGCAAAGGTCTTCTACCTAGATGAAGAGCATAGCGAATCGGACGACAGTGAAGCACATGACAGTGGATGGGAGGATGATGACGATGATAGTGAGGACTTTTCT